GCAGATAGCCCTCGTGTAGCTTTGCACGAAATTCAAAACAAACAAACCATATGGAACATGAAATTTTTCAACATATCTTTTTCCAAAATATTTATGAACCAAAATGTTTGTGGATCCATTACACTGTTTCTTAAGGGCTGCCTAATAATACATACACAAAAGCTATGCCATCAATATTGTAATTAATCCCATTAATTAATGCTGGAGTCTATAATGTATTTTATATGGAAAATATAGTAATTTCCCCATAATTGTTTGGGTAGGGTAGGTCTTTACGCTGTGCCAAACTTATGGTACTTGGTACATATTATAAACAAGTGAAGTGAGGTGTTAAAATGTATATTTTTTTCACTGGCTCCATAACCTAGTTCAGTTTATAAGTGATTCTCTTGCTGTAGCTGGACAAGAGGAATAGAGCAAAGATCACAGACCTTGGATTTTGTAAACCTGAGGCCATGATGTCTGGAAGTATAGTTGGAACTCCAATCCATATGGCTCCAGAACTGTTGAATGGTCGCTATGACAATAGTGTGGATGTTTATGCTTTTGGGATTCTCTTGTGGTACCTGTGTGCAGGACAAGTGAAGCTTCCATACATGTTCGAACAGTGTCAAACGAAAGATCAACTGTGGAACTGTGTTCGAAAAGGTAAGAACTTATCAATGTCACGACAAAAAAAGGTTTGTAATAATAATGTTCTGAGTTTCGTGGAAATACATCATTACACACACTTATGCACCAGTGTGATAATATGGTGAAGACAACAGTCTGGTACCATAGACTTGGAAAGACTTTCCACAGGGATGTGTAAGTCAGTTTCCAAGATCATATTTAAGTAAACCCAAGACATCCATGTAGTTTGTAATTTCAAAACTTGACAGATATGTGATTTGGTTTTTCTTTGGTTTAATGGAAACAACCATTAGTTTCCTGGCATGGCTGAAGCTGGTGTAACTTTGTCAACTTCACATTCTTGTTTATTTAAAATTATCTTGTTAACAGGAGCTATGCTCAGCTTCATCAGAAGGTTCTATTTTTTGTAACTGTAATAATTACTGTACAGAGAAAGGCCTTTCTTCACGTTAGGGTACGTGGCTCATTACTGTTCCAAAAGCACTGTCTGGTAGGTTTTCCCTCTTTCATGGAGGACAGTGGAACTCACTGTTCTGATATGTTGTGTCATTTGGCTCTGTATTGTTAACAATTTGATTTTTCTCTTTTAAAAAGCTTATTAAACTTCCTCCAGATAGAATTCTACCCATATCAGCATTGCACTGTCAAATGGAAAAATAATTCAAATAAAATAAAATTTTGTTCTCAATATTAACATCCTGCATCTCTTCTACATTGGTGTTTGATCATCTGGTCAAAGATATTTTTATGTTACACATGTTAACATCACTGCTTTCTTAGGTACGTCCAACACTGTAAGGACTTCTTAAACCCAAAATTCACCATCAGTTAACAAATTTTTCATTATTCATTTGCAATGACTATTTACTAATTGCATTTCCCAAACTTTAATAATGCCTAAAGTACAGACATTGGAAACTACTTGTCTTTAATAATGCCTAAAGTACACACATTGGAAACTACTTGTCTTTAATAACGCCTAAAGTACAGACATTGGAAACTACTTGTCTTTAATAATGCCTAAAGTACACACATTGGAAACTACTTGTCTTTAATAATGCCTAAAGTACACACATTGGAAATGTACTTTAGGCGTTATTAAAGACAAGTAGGACATTGGAAACTACTTGTCTTTTAATAACACCTAAAGTACAGACATTGGAAACTACTTGTCTTTAATAACGCCTAAAGTACAGACATTGGAAACTACTTGTCTTTAATAACACCTAAAGTACAGACATTGGAAACTACTTGTCTTTAATAACACCTAAAGTACACACATTGGAAACTACTTGTCTTTAATAACACCTAAAGTACAGATATTGGAAACTACTTGTCTTTAATAA